CAATTCAGCATTCTTCTCCAAGAGATTTTGAGACCTTTTAAGTCGGAATTCACTGACAATCTATTCTCATATTATGCATCAAAGTTAGTATTGTACCTTCATTAATCTTCTCTAGAGAAAGCATTTATTTTTGTTTTCTTCAACCACTGAATCACAAGTACAAAAACAGTGAAAAACTTGCAAAAATGGATACAAATAAATCAGTTGAATGCCTAATGGACTTGATAAGTGCATTGTTGTGTACTTATTCGGGTCATATTACTAAGTTTTTGTATCGTTTTAGTATTGAATTTTACTTAACTTAGGTAAATTTTATCTTATTTCTGTTTTTAACTCGTTTCTAAGCAACTGAAAAAGAAAGAGGGATCAATTGGTTAATGGATGGAAGTTTGGGGACTAATATGCATTTAAGTAAAAGTAGAAGTACCAAAATCGAAGTAATTTAATATGGAGGATCACGATGGAAGAAAGAATGAAAAAAATTGTTAAAAGGAAAATTCAAGAAATTTTTATAACTGGGCGCCCACTTATATAGGTCGGGCGGCCTCCTGGTCCTTAACCTTAATTACAGAGGCTACTTAGTATGCGTGGGCCACCCCATTTATTATTGGGCACTCGCCCAAGCCAATTCGATTAGAAAAATTTGTTTTCTTCAAAATTCAATTTCAACAAGGAAACTTTCATTTGGGCCATGATGTGTATGATTTTTGGAGATCTTTTAAGACTCTTTAGAGGAATTATAAATACCAACTCTCAAAACATAATTAGGGTGTGGAGAATGAATAGCAAAAGGAGGCAAAGAACAAATTAAGATCAAATCCAAGAAGTTCAAGATTGAATTCAAGAATTTTCGGGGGATGAACAACATTTATATCTTTTGCTTTATTCTTCATAGATTGAATTCAAGAATTTTCGGGTAATGAACAACTGTTATATGTTTTGTTTTCTTCTTCATAATATGTTAGACTAGATTTTTTTATGTTAGGAGAACGATGAACATTATAATATGAATTTTTAATCTTTAGTTTTACATATTTGACATTGAAAACACGTTTTTGGATTTTGAATAATTTATATGATTATCTTTTCTCTACGATTATTGTGCACGGTAATTGTATGAATTCGATGGTTTATTTTATGCATTCGAAAGAAGGAAGATAGATTCGATATAGTGTAAATCGTCATAGGATCCGATAGTGGATAGAAATATACCGCTATACTTTATGTGAATCTTTAAGGGTCCGTTTGATTGTAAGGGTGGAAAATGGGTGGAAAGAAAATATTTTATAGGGAAAAGAGTTTCCTAAAAAATGTTTTCCTGGGAATTGTAATTAATTGTCCTTGATTGGTATAATTTTCTACCCGAAAAATGTTGAAAGTTTGGTGTCCGTTTGGCTTCATTTTTTTATAAAAATTGTCCATTAAAGTGATAATTTTTCTACCAATACGTCTAGAATTTGTTCTAATTACCAAAAAGTAAAAAAAAAAAATAACAATTAGAAAAAATTACCATATTCGTTTGACTTTGTTTTACATAAAAATTGTCAACAAAAATGAAAATTCTTTTTACAATAGTTGATAGAATTGGTTGCCTTTGCTAAAAAAATGTGGAAAATGTTTTCCCAACTAATAGGTGGGAAAACAAAATAAAGCTTTTGTGCATCAAATGATTGTACCTAGAAAAAGGTGGAAAACGTTTTCCATGGAAAAATTTACCTATCAAACAACTTTTTAAGGGTGGAAAAGGAAAATGTTTTCCTTTTTCATGGAAAACTAAGGCTATCAAACGGAGCCTAAGTGTTCATAAAAATTCATGCATTCTTATATGTTTGCATCCGTTATAAAAATATAGGTGGGTCATATATGAGTGGGTTTAACATTACTCAAAAGAGATTGTTAAATAAAATAGGAACATTGATTCGTCAAAATTCAATCATGTTATCAAAGTGTAGAACAAAGGTTAAAAACAATTATTGTATAGGAATTCGGGATCCTAGTGCATTTTTCATTTATTAAACACATCAATTTGTATTTATTAAAATTGAACTAAATCAATATCTGTGGAAAGATACTTGAACTCAAAATTCACTTTATTACTTGTTAACGAACTGTACACTTGTGATGGTTTTAATTCGAAAAATATTTTCGTGAACATGACTAACTCGTTGAACTCACATTTTCGTCGATTGGAATCGGATTTGCAATATGTTTGAGAAAGAGAGAAGAGGGTGGATTATGTGGGTAGGTTCTAAGCTATTTGAAGTTGGATTGGGGAGAAAATTTCTGCATCCATCTCGTAGTGATTCTTTTTCCTTTTTTATTTTTTTAATTAAAAAAATACAGAAATTTTGGGTGGGCTACTGACCACCCTTGCCCATATGTGTCTCCGCTTGATATGCCCAAAAGTTAGAAGTGGCAAGAGTGATAATCTGGTAAAATATGTCTTAAATAGAGGATCTGCCTCAACAACACAAAAGGTGAGTACTATGTCGTTTGATGGGGGTAGATCGTCATGTTTGTGGCTTCATATACGTTTGAGTAATGTGCCCAAAGTTGATTAGTGTTCTTCTATGTGAGTGCACATAGCTGCACTAATGGATATGTGAAAATGGAAATAAAAAGGAGAAAGCATACTAATATAGAATTGCCACAAAAAAGTTTCATTCGGCTGACTCTTTGTAAATATATAAAAAAAAAAATTATTTCTTCTTCTTTTGATACTGCTTTATCCATGTTCTTGTTTCATGGATGCAGCTGTTTTGATACTCTGCCAAATCAAATTGTTAATGCCTTTGAAAGCTTTTGTTCTCGCGCCCAAATAATGTAGTGAAGTACCATCTTCCTAGGTTATCTGCATATTATTGGCCCACCTTTCCATTCCTCTTAAGGCTAGTTATTATTTGGTCGTTACATGATCTTATGAATAATACAGGATACTGGAATTAGTGGACTAAGCAGTAAAACACACATGAAGATAATGCTTCAATGGATGAGGGGCAGAATTATGCTGAAGCTATTCTGCTAGAACGTAGGCTCTAGCAAGATATTTCTGCTTATACACTACCTTAAGAACCCCAAACCAACCAGTTAAACAGCTCCATGGAACTGAAGCCGAAGACTGAAAAGCCTTGAATGAAAAAGAGAAAATATCAGAGATGGAAGACACAAGTGCAAAAATGTTTGGTGAGAATTTGATGAATTCTAGGAATACTTGCATTTAAATGCCGTTTACGTGATTTTCTTCTATATTGAGACTTACGGGATGCATCTGTCATTTAAACAGTGTATTTGCTTGAGCTGCGTTCTCTGCCAAGACTTGTATATTCACTCGGTCTGCATTATCTGCTTACTCAATTGCCTTCTCGAATCAAAGAAAGTGTAATTTTCTCATCAGGAACACAATTTACTTGCCGTCAGGTCTGCTTTGCTATTGTTTGTGGGTCGCCTCTTTTTCGGAATAAATAAATATTTTGCAGCATAGTTAACATCCAGTAAGCCACTAGTTTACCCATAGGCAAATCTCACTGAAATCTCTTGATTTACTAACTGTCTTGAAGAGCAGCCTGTTGAGTATGTTTTGTATTAACACAGGCATACCTTTGACTGTGAATGATCCTTGATCTCGTGGCATGTAAAAAATCCAAAGCTAAGAAGGGGAAATTGCACCCAATGTGTCATTTTTCTTTGTCGAAGAATGAGTAGCGAGTGATGAAACATCTGAACAAACTATCCAAACGACGAACTATTCCTTTTGTTTTCTTCATTGGAGTGAGGATATTTTGCATACGTAAACCTTAAAATGGTAATTAGGACCTTTTTCGACAATTTCAACCTTTTTACTTGTCTTCTTATTTTATAGTTAAATTGTATTTAATTTACTAAAATAAATTAAACACATACTTTGGTTCTGGAAAATATTGTTAATAAAATTGTTGGATTAATGGAGCTAGAGGTCTGAAGCAGTGGCATGCGAGCATGTTATAGTCCAAAGTCGTAAAGGTGAATTCCTACATGCCGGATTGAAAATATTTTAAAGATTCACTTCAATACTTTCTTTTTCCAAAATCTCATTGAATTTTTAAGTCATCAGTTGAGTTGTGCCAACGTGATGATAGAAAAACACTTGACGTACGGATAGGGGGGTGTTAAATGGGGCAATTGGCTAGATTCCAAGATGAGCCCAAACACGAGCCAAAAAGATCTCAAGAGACACTTGTCAACTCGTAAATTTGTTCGTAATTTATGAATGAAAAATTCGAGTACAAAATAAAAAAGAATTATTGAACCACGAGCCAGGTCGGCTCGTGCCATCCCGCCAAGGACAAGTGAGTCAATTAGAGCTGAGGTTTTTGAAAACGAGCCAACTCGCACTCTGCTCGCCCCATCGTGTGATGGACCGAGCCGAGGAACCGAGCAACAAGAACTAATAGCCATATTATCAGGAGATCACGTTTCTCTCAATAACAGCGACAAGAAGATTCGAGAAAAAAATACATTAAACCAAAAGGCAGAAACGCAGAGCATTCCTCCCAAAAAGCATTTGATATCAAAGGAACAGAAAAAGAAAACAGAGAAACTTTTTTTCTTTTCTTTTTCTTTTTTTGAATCACATTTACAGTAGTTTCATTTATGCAAACGTCAACTCATCTAAACAATAACAACGATGACAGAGTAAAAAAGAGAAAGCTGCAAAATAGAGTAGAGCATCACATACAACACACTCCCAATGACGACCAGAAGTTTGACAATTCTCTTTCTAGTACCCAGCCACATTAGGCTGCCTTTAAATAAGCAAACTAAGCAAAGCAAGGAGGAAAAATAGGCACATCATAAATGAAAGGAAAGGGTGAAATCCACAAATATCACACAACCAGGCTTACACCGTTCCACAATACACACCGGTAACTTCTATAACTGCTGGAAACCCTAGAAAAGCGGAATAACTACAAAATAGAAATTTGACATTCATATGGATTTGCCAGAAATTTGCAACATGGTCATTATTCTTCATCATCTCCAAGCTTGTACTCACTGAAATGATTGACCCTGAACTTCCATTCTCCTTTGACTGGATCATAGGACACAAACTCAGCACCTTGATCCTCAGCCTTTCTTTTAAGCATCTCTTTGTACTTCTCAATTCTTGGTCCCGATGTGTATTGCTGTCCAGTCTTTTTATCAAAACATTTTATATTGAGGAGTTTTACCTCGGCAGGTTTGTTGAGACCTTGTCCAATTGGAGGTTTCTTGGTCTCATCCATATACACAATAACCTCTCGATTATTGAATTGAACAAGAGACTCCAGATCAAGCCTTCGCACATCCGTCTCCCCAAAGAACTTGATGCTACCAAAACCATGTCTCCCAACCACAAAGTCCTTCACATGGCGACAAAACCCTGGCTTGGCTCTTTCCTTTGCAGCCAGCTCCTGAATTCGTGGCTCTGTGTAGTAGTCAGAGTGGCGAAGCTTTGGCATCAGTGCCTCTATGTCTGCACCATGCTCATAAACAATTGCTGCTTCACCAGCTCGGTGGCCAGTAAGAGTGATGTAAGAATCTCCTAGCTTAGAAACACCATCATGGAACTCATTAGCATTCTGGTTCAAATCGACAGAGTGACCTTGTTCCTCAGCAAGACCATTCATGACCCCATCTTCTGCAAGGAGAGCACAAGTGCATCAAAATTAGAAATATTCAGGTATTATATTTCTTGCTATAGAATATTTAGTATAGAATGCAACCGCTATCATTTTACGAGGAAAGTCCAATTTCCCAGGTAGTCTCTTGCTATAGAATATTTAGTATAGAATGCAACCGCTATCATCTTACAAGGAAAGTCCATTTTCCCATACAATTCACCACTGAAACCAACAATCCTCGGAGAAAAATAATGATTTTTTTCCTAGTTCTTGACAGACAAGAGGTTCACTACTGTGCTAAAGTATGGTAGAGTGGATGGAACCTTCATCCAGACTGTTCAGCATCACTATTTCAATAAGCTAAAAATTGCAAACTCGGTAGATCGGATCCTCTTTAAAAGTAAGTCACATAAATCAACCAGGGTTAGCTCTCCAGCACTCCACTTTTTGAAAGCAGGATAGCACTTCAAGCTCCACTGTCCATTATTACTTCATGCTCTAAAAAAATTACAAGAGTCTCTTGATGGTTGTCAACAGTCATGATCATGAATGACAGTAAGATGGTTGACACGATAATGGTTGAAGGAGAAAATAGTAGGATCAATGTGATTACGTAGAACATAGTTGAGAGAGAGAGTACAAAAAAAATGATAAGAGAATGGAATGAAAGGGTAGATGAAGAAGATTAAGTGGCAGTAACCCAATATTCATTTGGATTAGGGATTCTATTTATTCCTAGTTATTTCCCTTCATGTGGAGCCAATAATCATCAATGACAATAGAAGTGCATAACTGGGAACTTAATTGAACGCCATACAAACCCATGCAAACTCTCTAAGATGCACAAGATCATAATCAGCTTTCCATAACATCTGAATGTTTTTAACAGAGTATAAGATAGACTAATAACTGTTCCTAGCTCCTGTCAAAAGAAATTATAATTTTTGACAGTCATTCACCGGCATCATGACAGAGGACATTACCAAAATATAGCCTTCACTTTACAACCACCATTTTTCGCCACATGGTGTCCGTGTCCTAATTTCTAGGTGTAGAACAGCACCCTAACTGCACATCTATCTTTCCCAATGTTCAATTATATCATACATATCCAGTTTCTGGGATCAAAGCCACTCTAGCATGGGCAATATGACACAGGAATGTCATTAATTGCAACACTTGAACCAAGAGAAATCACGGTTCTTTCATTAGTGAGTTGAATTCCAATAGGCAGATTTTGGGGTAACTTTCAACAGAGTTCTGAGAATGGTGACAACATATTTGTCATTCATATAATATATTGCTGGAAAGGTAATTAAGTAAGGGTTCTAGAACAATTTACGGATATTAATTTGGACATTTCTATGAGAAGTTAATGTTGTTTTACTCCATATTATCCAGCTGCCTAATCCACCCAAGAATACAAGGAGTTTTCATCTTTTCAAGGTTCCTAGAAGACTTTAATGTATGTGAATGATGAATGAACGAATTTGTCATTTAGAATTCATGTATGTTCATGTAATTCGATCTTGAAAATATTTCAAGATTGCTTTGGTAATTGCCCATGCTTGGAGGGTTGTTTCAAGTCACAGCTATATAAGCTACACCATTGAAAGCCTTGAAACAATTGAGTTTGAACATGCGAATTAAGTTATTTGAGAGGTGTCTATCCTTCTCTTCTTAACTATTATCTCTTTTTGGTGGATTCCAAGGGTGGTGAGTTTTCTTAGCCCTGTATCCCTTGTTTAATTCCTTTGGGTGGTAATTTCTTGCATCCCTTGGGCATTTACTTGGGTGGAGAGCTATTTTATCCATTGTTATCTTTTCTTTATCAATCTTCATTCCAACCCAGTATCATAATAACCTTCCGAATAATTCTCATAGATGTTTTAACATTTTTGAATTTTTCCAAAGAAGATAAATACTGGAAAACTGGGAACAAAATAGAATCATATTACAAAGAGAAACAATAGAAAGATTCATGAGAAATATAACATCATAAAAAAAAAAAAATACAGAAGATGACAAGATAATAGGATTTATAGTAAGGGCGTGTTCGGTCTAGCTTAAAATCCAATTAAAATTGAAAATATGAACGTTATTGGGTCTCACTCGTCTAATAAAAGTCAACAATAACAGCTAATTTATCAATTTTAATTCGATTTTAATCTCTACCGAACACGCCCTAAAGAAGCACTCACCATCTTTATTCTCAGTTCCGTAGACATTTATGAGAGTGGGAATATCTTCAGGAATTTTACCTGATTAGCAACAGTAAATAACAAGTCAAACATTCGGACATGAGTACTAAAGCATAAGCTTATCATTACAACATCTTCCTCCTCCTACCCCACAAAGTATAGAAAGGAAACAAAATGAATGAAAGATGAGTGAAAAAGTGAGAAAACAGACATTGAATTTATACTACAATAGAAAACATGCACCCCAGCATTCCTCATTCTGGTTGTTTTATCCTTGCTAATTTACCACAAAATTTAGGAACTTCTATTCCATATTATCTTCATGAGTAAAAAAGCGCTTCCTCCTCACAGGTTATTCATTTATGTTGTATCTATTGATATTTATGCATCTCCGAAATATTTCCTCCCATTGCTGCATTTACAATTTAGAGTTTAGTTTACATATACTAAAACTCAGATTTAATATTTTGGCAGCCACAATGACTACCATATTATTTCTAAGTTATCGATAGTCTGTATAATTTAAAGTTGGAAAAATGTTAGGATATGGAACAGCAAAGGTATAAAGGATCCTGGAATATAATATTATCAGAGATGAACCCAAGCACAACCTATAATGTGGTAACTTTTGAAGGATTATGGTAGCTTGAATACCGGTAGGATTTTTAGCACCATGCAGGTGTCAGTCACCATTTGGTTTGAACTTACTCTGTAGCAATAAGGCTATAGACGGGGGGGTAGTTTTCATCATGAATCCCAAACACCATCATCGACAACACCTACTACCTCATTAATGTGGGCATCATGTAGTGAAAATTGCTTTTTCTATGCATTAACTTGTGGTTGAGTTTGTTCCCCAACAAGACCAAAGATGAACTGCAAGTTTCACACCCAACTTCTGTAGGATAGCACTTTGCCTCAATTGTCTATGATTCATTTAATTGGGAGAAATAGGTAAATGTCAGGGATACATCATACAAAAAGCTTTAAAAAGCACGTCATCATTAAGCCTTCCTCTCAGGGAATAATTAAATAAATCAAGTTTCAGCCTCTGCACCTAAAAAAATCCTAATAAAAGATAAAGGAAAATGAATCATAACCAGCTACCACGAGGCATTTACAATCTCTTGAAGATGTCCAGCAACTTCTAAGGGGACTAATCTTACAAGTACCATGTGTAATTATTTTAACGCTACTCCTAATCCTTCCAAAGTATCAAAGAGCACAAAATCTAGCACACCTCATCAGATATAGAATGCTATAACCATTTACCATTCTCATGTACAGGAGTAGACTTGGGCTTTGACGGGGTTGTCCTCTCTGCGCTTGATCTAGAGGGCCACTGTTCTAATGGACGAATTATTAAAGCTCTTGGGTTCTCCCGTGGAATATAAAGAGCATCTGCCTTTGGCGTGCTGGGTGTCTCTTCATCATCACTAAAAAATGGCACCTGAACAATATAAAAAAATGAAGAGAACCACAGAGTTTGTAATAAGCGATGCTGACATTATTTCATTAAATGAATCAAGAATTTTAATTTAATTAGAAAAAATATCCCCACCTTTGGACCATCATTTTTAGGGTGATATTTCCTTGCAGGCAATCTACTACGCCTCTGAGAAAGGTGCCGAGACGTCAACAAAGATGATATTCTGATAGGCACTGGTTTGTCAACAACCTGCTTAAAAATAAGTGTTCGTTACTGAGTCCGAAGGTAGTATTCCTTACTCCAATAATATGAGAAAATTCTAAGAAGGTTCTAGATCAATAATCAATTGATTTATTCAATACATGGATCAAAAACACCCCTGCATAATTGTATTTGGGAGTTAGTCAAGATATTCGTACTTACTGGCAAACTGGAAATTCCATACTGGATGGAAGGAGAAGTGCCTGTGCGGCCAATTGATATCTGGGGCATCGCTGGCAGGGTTCCAAAAGGATTTGTAGCAGGAGCAGATTGAGCAACCAAAGAGCTTTGAGTGCCAGACCTGCAACAAAATTTAATACATCTAAACTTATACCATACCTAAAGCATGCAAGAAGGAACCAATGCATGATAACAAATCACTAATAAGAAGTCAAAACTTTATTATCCATGGGTTTATTTGGAAAATTCGCTATTGCAAGTATTACATCGTAAATATCAAAACCTCAATTTCGAAATAGCCCAAGTTTAACGATCATTTTTTCGAAATGTTATGGATAATCTCTCAAGTCTACCAACTATAATTCCACAAAAAATACCAATCAGATGGGACACGTGAGCTGCATCTGAGTGATACAGAATCCAACAAGTCAAATTTAAGTAACTATTTGCAAGATATGACATTAATACAATTTTTTAATGTTCTTAAGACTGGTGTCAATCCCAGCTGTGCTCTAAGGAACAATGCAAAGATATATATCATGCATTATGAATTCACTAAGTATATTACTATAAAAAGTATATAATTTTTTTTTAAAGCAAGTATATGATTTTATACATACTGTGAAGACACCTAAATCTTAAAAGACATCCTAAATGGATTGCTTTCTTTATCTTGCTAATTGTAACCATATGATGTTAACTGTCGGGAAAAATGAAAGGCTAAGAAACAAGGATCTTTAGTTTACATTACCAATGAAAATCTCATTAAGGCCGTGGAAATGTTTTCACATCTAGAAGGATCGATTATACGTTAAAACAATGCATAATCATTTTGTTCAAGGTAATCGCATCATTTAATAAAAAGAGTTCTTACAACCAATTCAATGTGAATTCTTATGCATAGTACACGATCTTCTCTAATTTACTCAATAAATTATTGAAACGGTTTGATATATTTATTCTATTGAAAACATTAAGTTCATTGAAATATTTGAAAATTCACATTCTAATATACAAGGTTTATTAACCCATAAGAGAATATAATGTGTGAATTAAAAAAAAAGGGTTCTAATTCACATCAAGTAAAGAAATCCAGAACAAAGACAAACAGAGAGATAATGAATCATACGACTGTCCAAATGTGCCCTGGCCAAAGATGCTCGGTGTGCCACCAAAGACACTTGCACTAGCTGTAAACACAAAACAATGATAACCATATTAGTAAGATTCCCAAAATAGATAATAAACGTTATGGTCGAGAAAGATCAAAGACTTGGCCTACCTGTTTGTGGCTGTCCAAAGTTGCTAAAGCCAAAACCACCAGAACTCTGAGTTGGCTGTGAAGGTTGAAAAGGCATGGAAAGGGATGGCTTCAGAAAAATGTAGAACAGAAATAAGTTAGCAGTGGTGTAACAACAAATAATAATGGTAACAACAAAAACAACTATAATAATCACGATCACAAGAAAAATCAACAGACTGTTGCAGACAAGACTGCTGAACATTAAGCTGTAGAAAAGTCCTATAAGCCAAAACTACAACATGCCCATGTAAAGTTTCAAACAAAGTTTATCATTAACTCTGCTAAACTGACCATCCAATTACATTTGGAGAAGATAAAAAAACGATTGGCTAAAGTTTTAAGTTCCTAGTACACCCATTAATGATAAGACTGATCGAGTATCCTAAACTTACACATGCTCGACCAAACAAGACTATAAACACCCAAACCTTGATTGTATTGGCACATCCGCAAAGCATATGACAGACCCTTAGTCCACATAACCTACCAGAAGCGTAAAAAGTGAGCAAGGGCAGAATAGGAAATGAGAAAGTAACAGTCACATGCACCAGCACTGAGTTTGTTAGGCACTCCAGTATAAATAAGAGCAGGAACCATATTGATAGGCAGGGAGAAATTAGTAGTCCATTAGGAGAGTATTGGCCTCTTGAATGCCAAATATCTGTAATTCCTTTCTTGTTAAGTTTCAGTCACTTTTCCTTGAACGGTGTTTCTTCAATCAAATACAGTAAAATCCTTTATTCTCTTCATACTGAGTTGTACATTCATCTATGTCAGCTGAAACTGTCCAAGTTCCTATCATTGGTATCAGAGCAGTTCTATCCTGATGGTGAATTGATCAGATCGAGTGGGAAATTTGGAAGGGGCTCATCAGAAATTGCATGAACAAATGGAAAGGGTGCAACATGGAATCGAAGGAATGCAGGTGGAGATGCGTAGAGTCCAGAACATTGAGAAGAACATGTCTCTTATGATGGAACAGTTTGCCTTCATGTGATCGAAATGGGAAGAAGGAGAAAACGAAAGAAAAAGCAAGGGAAGCGAAGGAGAGAAGGACTCAGGGTATACCGCGCTTTCTGAAAATTCCCTAGGAGCTTGGACAAGCATTTGAGCCGAAAATGGAGGTAAGGGCAAACACTGGCGTCCAGAAATCAGAGGGAGGAAGCTGGAGATGCCGGTATTCGTAGGGAAGAGTCCAGATAACTGGATCTTCAGGGCTGAACGGTATTTCTTGGTAAATCAATTGACGGAATCAGAGAAGCTCGAGACGGCAGCCCTATGTTTCGACGGAGATGCCCTTGCCTGGTATCAGTGGGAGCAGAGGAGGAAAAATATAGGGAGTTGGAGGGAACTGAAAACGTTGTCGAGGACACGATTCCGATCAACTACAGACGGATCCATGGAAGAGCAATTCCTAGCACTTCGACAGGACGGGTCAGTTAGGGAGTACCGAATAGCCTTCAAAACGATGGCAGCGCCCATCGGTGAGATCTCAGACGCCATGCTAGAGGGCCACTTCGTCAATGGGCTGAAACCAGAGATTAGGGCTGATATTCGGGTCTTAAAACCTATTGGGCTGGAGCAGATGATAGACCTAGCCCAACGGATTGAAGAGAAGAATAGGCTATGGCAGGCCCGTTTTGGAAGAACTGATCCAATTAGAAATAAAGCAATCCCCAACCCAAATTGGCCAAATCCCCAATCCCGATTCACAAATCTCTCAGCCCCAAACACCCATGTGCGACCTGCGACTTCCATGGGAACCAGAATCGCGACCTCCCCAGACAACGTCGCACCGAAATTTAAAAAAACTCGGCGAAGCTGAGTTCAAAAGCAAGCGAGAAAGGGGGCTATGCTTTCGTTGTGATGAGAAATTTTTTGTGGGGCATCAATGTAAGAACAAGGAGTTGAAGATGCTGTTGGTTTATGATGAGGAGTTAGAGGAAGGAGAGGAAACGGAGGAGGTGAGCGAAGCATCAGAAGAGAATGGGCAGGATGTTTCCAGCGAAGTGGTGGAGCTATCAGTGAACTCGGTTGTTGGGCTCACACCATCGCACACTATGAAGATGTAAGGGTTCATTTCCGGGCAAGAAGTGGTGGTTTTAATTGATTGCGGGGCCAGCCACAACTTCATTTCAGCTGAATTAGTGAAGAAATTTAACTTGAAGAGAACCGAGACCGCCGGTTATGGGGTGATCATGGGCACAGGGATGGCTGTGCAAGGTGCTGGAGTGTGCAAAGGGGTACGATTATCACTTCAGAATCTGACTGTAGTTGATGATTTTCTTCCATTGGATTTGGGTAGTTCCGACGTGATCTTAGGGATGAAGTGGCTATCCTCTCTAGGTGTGACCAAGGTTGACTGGAAGTCGCTAACGATGAAGTTCCAGGTCGGAAGCACTACCATGACTCTGCAAGGGGATCCGAGCTTGAGTAAGACTATGATTACTCTGAAGTCAATGATGAGGGCTACGTTGCTCGGACTCTTCATTTTGGTCGGCATACCCGTGTCGACACGACACGGGTACGGGTACGAAATACGGATCGGAAGCTACAAATGTCAACCGGACACGGCTAGGGGCGACAAGAGGAAGAGGAAGAGGAAGAGGAGGAAAAAGAAGAAGAGGAAGGGGGGTTGCTGCCAGAATCGAAGAAGAAGAAGAAGAAGAAGAAGAAGAAAGGGCGCTGCTGAATCTCCATTTGCAGAGCCGGAAGTGACATGAGGAAGAAGAAGGAGGTGGTTGAACTTGGGCCTCTTTTTTTTGAAGCGTTGGGCTTGGGCTTCAAAACATTGTCCTTTTTTTTATAAACATAAACATCGCCTTTTTTATTTAAAATAAATTTATCAATTGTGGTTAAATATATTTACAATCTTATAGCTTTATTGGTTGGGTTTATTTCTTTTTCTTCGAATTTTACAGCCATATTGTTGAGCAAATTACACGATGTTTATTATTTTATTAATTATGCTTTTGGTTCTTTTGATATAGACAAGATCATTTTAGTTTTAAAAAAATATCATGATTAATATTACAAAAATTTAAAACAATTTAAAATATGATTTTTCTTTGACCAAAATAATCGATAGATAATTATAAAATCAACATACATAATTTTTTTAGAACAATTCAATAGCATTTTTTGAAATTAATATTTTTTTCAAAACTTGACAAAATAGAAATAATCAAATAATATTTTTGATTAATTTTACATATGAATTTTTTAGAAAAAAATAATAATTGAAGTTACAAAGACGTACCCACGTACCCGTGTCCGAAATTTGGACTCTTTTTAGCCATGTCCCCATATCCTCCCTTTTAAAAAATAAAAGATCCGACACTTAAATACATACCCGTACCCGATATCCGTACCCGAGTCCGAGCAACATAGGATGAGGGCCTTCAGAGAGGGTGGAACAGGGGTATTGCTTGAACTTAGTGATGGCAATCGAGCTGAGCGGCTCGTCGGCTCGATTGCCATCACAATAACAAATATATTTAACAAGAAAACTCTCTTCTAGTTGTTTAATGAATGCAAAGTGTTCGAGCCTCGAGCCGAGCCGGCGCGGCTCGTGAATCACGAGCTCGTGGGCCGAGCCGAGCTCGCCCACGAGCAAACGAGCCGAGCAGTTCAGAAAAATGAAATAGAGAAGCTGATCAAAGAAATGCTAGCTACAGGAATTATCAGGCCAAGTAGCAGCCCCTTTTCTAGTCCCGTGCTACTAGTTAAGAAAAAAGATGGAGGATGGCGCTTTTGTGTGGATTATCGAGCTGTGAACAAGGTAACGGTACCGGACAAGTTTTCCATTCCGGTGATAGATGAACTATTGGATGAATTAAATGGAGCTACCGTTTTCTCTAAACTGGATCTTAAGGCGGGATATCATCAAATTCGAGTCAAGCCGGAGGACATTACAAAGACTGCGTTTAGGACTCACGAAGGGCATTATGAGTTCTTGGTCATGCCATTCGGGTTGACTAACGCCCCAGCTGCGTTCCAGACTCTCATGAATGAAGTGTTCAAGGAGCACTTGCGGCGATTTGTTATGGTGTTTTTCGATGATATCTTGGCCTATAGCCGAAATTTAGAGGATCATGTGGGGCACTTGCAGAGCGTTTTGCAGATACTAAAACACCATCAGTTATATGCCAATCAAAAAAAATGTAGTTTCGGCCAGCGGTAAGTGGAGTACTTGGGACATTGCATTTCACAACGCGGTGTGGCAGCTGACAAGTCCAAAATTCGAGCCATGGTTGACTGGCCGAGCCCCCGTTCCTTGCGAGAGTTGAGGGGATTCTTGGGGCTGACCGGGTACTACCGCCGCTTTGTGAAGGATTATGGGAAATTAGCTTGGCCCTTAACTGATCGCCTGCGCAAAGATAATTTTTTCTGGGATGAAGAAGCGAAGCAGGCATTCACTAAATTGAAGGTAGCCATGACAGCAACCCCAGTTCTGGCCCTTCCAAACTTTAACAGACCATTTGTGGTGGAGACAGATGCTTCCGGATTTGGATTGGGGGCTGTACTGATGCAGGACCAGCACCCTATAGCTTACTTCAGTCGTGCACTCAGTCCAACGGGGAAAGTGAAATCAACTTACGTGCGGGAACTGATGGCAATTGTGTTTGCGGTGCAAAAATGGAGGCATTACCTACTGGGTCACAAATTCTTTGTGCGAATGGATCAGAAAAGTTTGAAGTTCTTGCTAGAACAGAGGGAAGTGAATTCGGATTACCAGAAGTGGTTAGTAAAATTAATGGGATATCACTTCGAAGAGCAATACCATCCGGGGATCGAAAATAAGGCTGCTGATGCACTATCCCGCATCAAATCTTCCACTGAACTGATGGCTCTCTCGGTACCTGCAGTCCTTCAACTGGACATTCTAGCCGAGGAAGTTCGTGCAGATTTCCAACTCCAGAATATCCTTCAGGAACTCCAGCGAGGTCAGTCTAGCAGTTCGGAATTTTCACTGGTGAATGGGCAGCTGTTGTTCAAAGGACGTTTGTTTTTACCGAAAGGATCGAAGTTAATTCCTTTGATGATGTAAGAGGGCCATGACAGCAAGAGTGGGGGACACTCTGGATTCTTGAAGACATACAGGAGGATTGCAACTAATGTCTACTGGGGAAGGCATAAAAACAAATATTCAGAAATATGTCCGACAGTGTGCAGTTTGCCAGCTGAACAAGTATCTCGCCTTATCACCGGGGGGGTTGTTGCAGCCACTCCCTATTCCGAATCAGATTTGGGAGGACATCGCCATGGACTTCATCGAAGGATTACTGAAATCAGGAGCCATGGATACAATTCTGGTAGTGGTGGATCGATTAAGCAAATATGGGCACTTCATAGGACTCAAGCACCCTTTTTCGACAGCAAGTGTGGCAGGGCATTTCGTGAGGGAAGTAGTAAGATTGCATGAGATCCCACATTCTATAGTGTCAGACAGGGATAAGGTATTCATCAGTCACTTCTGGGAGGAGTTATTCCGTTTGCAAGGGACAAAGCTCAATCGTAGTACGGCCTACCACCCCCAATCTGATGGTCAGACAGAGGTGCTAAATCGCACATTGGAAACCTATCTTCGATGTTTTGCCTCTTCACGACCCAAATCATGGTTCAGTTGGTTACCTTGGGCCGAATTATGGTATAACACCTTCCACACAGCAAGCAAGACGACACCCTTCCAGGTTGTTTATGGGCGCGAACCACCTGTTTTGCTAAGATTTGACAAGGGGACTACACCTGTTTTGGCAATTGAACAGCAACTACGTGAACGAGATCAGGTTCTGGACGAACTGAAAGCACAATTACTAAGGGCTCAAGCGAAGATGAAGAGCATAGCTGACCCCAAACGAAGAGATGTCCAGTTCGCAGTAGGTGACCTGGCATATCTGAAAATGAGGCCGTACCGTCGCAAATCCTTGGCGGCGAGACCTAATGAGAAGCTGGCACCAAGGTTTTATGGTCCCTTCACTGTGGGACGGGTTGCTTACAAACTGATCCTACCTTCAACATGTAATATTCACCCAATGTTTCATGTATCTCAATTGCGCAAGGCTGAAGGAGCAGTGCAGGCAGTAACAGAAGTACCAAGCCAGCTGAGTGAAGAGCTGGAGTTGCTGGCTGAACCAGAAACATTGCTTGGGGTCTGTCCAGGTTTGGGACAGAATATCAGAGGATTGGATGTTCTAATTCAATGGAAAGGGCTGCCACCACTTGAAGCTACCCGGGAATCCTACGACATGATTAAGCAACAATTCCCTTCCTTCCACCTTGAGGACAAGGTGAAACTCATAGGGGAAGGTATTGATAGACCCTTAGTCCACATAACCTACCAGAGGCGTAAAAAGGGAGCAAGGGCAGAATAGGAAATGAGCAAGTAACCGTCACATGCACCAACACTGAGTTTGTTAGGAACTCCAGTATAAATAAGAGCAGGAACCATATTGTTAGGCAGGCAGAAATTAGTAGTCCATTAGGAGAGTATTGGCCTCTCGAATGCCAAATAGCTGTAATTCCTTTCTTGTTAAGTTTCAGTCACTTTTCCTTGAACGGTGTTTCTTCAATCAAATACAGTAAAATCCTTTATTCTCTTCATACTGAGTTGTACATTAATCTGTGTCAGCTGAAATTGTCCAGGTTCCTATCAGCATATTGATCAAATGGCTGTAAGAAATCTTATGCATCTGTCTACCTATGATCACATATTTCCTCATTATCATGGCATATTATGTCTGGTCGTAAAAGCCATGTCAATTGTCAGCTCGCCCACGAAGGATTAACATTTTACCTTTTGTCTGCAACTGCTATAGTACTAGAGTGCACATCTAAAGTCATGTGTAGTAAATGTAAGCAAGCTGATTCCATATATTTCCTTTTTTTCATACAACATCAATCGTTAATTTCAAGAAGGTAATAATATGGTAATTATTAACATGTACATCAATGACATCAGGTAATCGTTACACGTCTACTAAAACACTATGACATAGATTTGGCCTACTGATTTTAACATCTACTACTACAATCTAAGAAGCTCAAATACGGATACGATATATGATATAAATACGCCGATGCAACTTTTTTGAAAAACATAGGATACACCAATACTTTTTATAAAATTTGACATAATTTCATTATATAAAAAAATATTAATATAAATATAGAAACGTGATAGTAAAAATAAAACACTACAACAGTTTATTAGCACAGTTTTACATATATTAAATCATTATCCATTTTCAATAATAGAATTAATGTAACACCAATATACATGTATTATTTAATATTAGTCACTATCTACTTCCAATAATAAAAATATATTTGTCAACTATAACACGATTTCACATGTATTGAAATATTAATAATATTATGCATTCCCAATAAAAAGTCTAGTTGCTAATTTTAAAACTCTAATTGTGTATTTTCAATAAATATTATTGATATTCAATAAGTTAGTAAAACAATTCGTAAAATATGTATCGGATACATATAGAAAATCAGACAAAAATATGAAATAATTAAAAAATACATATCGGATACGTATCGAAAAATTTTAAAAATATAAAAATATATAAATTAATTTTAAAAAAAAGTATCTGGTACGTATAGGAGGATATCAGAGAGTATCGAAGTTTGGATACGCATCGGATATGGGTACGTAACGAGTTTACAAGTATCGGTGCTTCTTAAATTACGATTGCTCTCTTAATAAAGATGATCAACATTCTAAAGATAGAAATAGTTTGCAAAAGAATCAACATTTATGTTAGAGAATGAGATGGGTCATATTTTAGAGAGAAACAATTACCATATGCACACAAGCATCGTGGCATTTTTTAACTAGCCTGGTCCCACTGCTTCAAACTCAAAATAGTTAACGAAAATCTTGTCCCAGCTACTTGAATCACCAAATATTTGTCATTGTTATTTAACATCATGAATTCTTGTCTTACTCTTATTTATTCATCAGTATGAAGCCTTATATTAGTTTCTTTAAAAACAACAGCAGGAAAAATGAAAATGAAAACAGCAGGAAAAAGCAGTTCAATTCATGATTAACTCACAGTTGTTTGGCCAAATCCCACAGGGTTGCTGGTGTTTAGTAATGATGGAGTGCTTGAGAATAGATTCCCGCCAAAGCCAGTAGAAGGTGTACTAAATAAATTTGATTGACCAAAAGCTGGGGTGGTTTGCCCAAAGACTGAAGTTGCCTGTCCAAAAACAGAACTAGACTGTCCAAGCGAAGGTGCGGCAGACTGGAAAGGTGTGGACTGTGTGTTGCCAAAATTTAAGCCAGAGCCAAATGATGGGGTAGTTCCCTGAGCCGATGAAGAGGCAAAGATAGATGGTGAAGATCCAAAAGCTGACGAGCTTGAGGAGCCAAACAGGGACGGGGAGGTACTGGCTCCAAATGCTGGAGTCGTGGAGCCAAAAATGGAGGATGATGACGAACCGAAAAGGTTAGATGTAGTAGACGCTCCAAAAGGTGAAGAACCAAATGAAGGAGCAGATGAAGCTCCAAAACCAGAGCTACCGAAAGCTGGAGTTTTAGAGGCAAATGGGTTGGAAGCTGTTGAGGATGAAAAAGGATTTGCTGATGACTGACCAAATGCAGGAGTGGTCGATGATCCAAAGCCTGAACTACCAAAGCCAACTGCACCTGCAGACTGACTGGCTGGAGCTGGCCCCCCTGGAATTCATAAAGAAGAAAAATATCAGTCCATATGATTTAACAAGTGGTTTAGGACTATAAGATTTTCTCAAGTTCCTGTAAAAAGAAACCTTTATCTCCCAACTGGTAGTCCTCCCACCTAAGTTCTTCATGGCTTTTATCTTTGTAGACGGGCATGGCTGAAATAGATTCAAGCTTACCAGCCGGTTGTGTACCACTACCACCATCTACCTCAGGTGTCGGGGTGTAAGCAGCTACTCTAGACCCCCCACGTTGTTGCCCTCCAAATGCAGACTGCCCAAAAGCAGAGCTCCCAAAAGTTGGGGTCGTAGCTTGAGCTCCTGCATTATGAATAAGTGGAAACAGCAACAGCGATATATAGTATGAGATATTGTCAAAATTGACATCACTCAGAAAGGATGAAAAAATCTCGCCCAAGCAATTTACAAAATTCTAAAATATTTATCCATTATGCACACATCAAATAACTTACCAAAAGGAACACTTTGAGCTCCAAAGGCTGACGCTGTAGATCCAAATGGGCTATTGCCAAATGCAGGACTAGACCCAAAGCTAAAATTGGGAGTACTGGCCGCACCAAAAGCAGCATTTGAGGCACCAAATGCTGGAGAGCTGGATGCACCAAATGCTGGAGTAGAAGAAGCACCAAATGCTGGAGTGGAAGAAGCACCAAATGCTGGAGTGGAAGAAGCACCAAACGCAGGAGTAGTTGATCCAAAAACAGGAGAACTTGACACACCAAATCCACTGCCTGAGTTACCAAATGTTGAGCTTGTCGTGGAACCAAAGGCAGGTGTACTTGTAGCACCAAAAGATGGTGCGCTTGTGGCACCAAATGCAGGAGTGCTTGACGAGCCAAATGCAGGAGTGCTAGTGGCACCAAATGCAGGTTGACTTGGCGTACCAAAAGGTGTAGATGAACCAAATAGATTACTTCCAAATGCCGGTTGTGATTGTTGAAATGAGCTTCCAAATGGACTTGTTTGAGTAGTACTTGACCCAAAGCCACCAAAAGCAGGGTTCTGCCCAAACACAGAAGAACCTGTGTATTTGAGACAGTTAATGAGTAACAAATAAAAACAATGAATATGATAAGGCAGTAGTAAGTCCACAAAAATAGCAGAAGAAATAAACCAATGACAATGAGGAAAGAAAAATGGAAGGTTCAGGAGACAACATCCCAACATTTGAGGTAGAAGGTTAGAAAGAACCTAACAAGTTTCAGAAAAGCAATAGGATATCTAAACAGTAAGCCTGAAACTTCATTTGAGGAAAACTGCAAGAATGAAATCACTTATATAAACTAAACAGAAAATTCTTCGTAACAAACACAAGTTCATAAAGTAATGCCAAAAAGAAGCTGCCCTCACTCAGAACTCAGAAGCAGCAACATAAAAACGGAAATCTATGTTGCACAAAGCATTAGCATTTAGCACAAAGTTGACAAACAAAAGTTGTCAGGTATAACTTCAGGCTCCAAGACAGCTTCGGTTTTCATTACTTGAATGTCACTCTTGCAGTGGAGTACATTTACATAAATATTTTTCCTCTATGCTCTTCTAAGCACAATGCAAGATGTAGATCCTTTGATTCATCCAAATCCTTACAGTTTGGTTGTCCTGAAAACTGCTGTTCATTTCCAACGCTTGAATGGAAGGAAAATCGAAAATGTCAAACATTTTCAGATTTTCATATGCTTCATCTTGTCGAAACATGGCATTCGCTATGCTCGGTCCGGTGTACCTTTATATAGAGGGGATAAAGTGCAAGCATTGCCACTATGGATTATCCAACTTTTCAAGGAGACAAAGTTCAGTGCTCACTGCTGCATCTTTTAATGCTGCCACAAACATCCCTTGATGCAATTGCCACAGGAAGGAGCAAAGTTGAAACTGCAGTATAACAGGTAGGAAACAAACACCTAATCTTCTGAAAGAAACCATCTAAATGCAATAATCACAAGATCTTAACCAGGCTTCTATTAATCATTTCATTTCTTGCAGGCACTCCTACAAAATTTATTAAGAAAATATCTTAAGCATACGTACTCGTTTGAAGTATTAACTCGTCTTTATATATTTAGATTGCTACAAAGGAAATGATAGCTAAAGAATGATAACACAGTAAACACCATGGTAAAACTTGACTATCAAGCAACAGATTAAACTTATGCTTGATAAAAGCCAACACTTTGCCTAATGTGCAGATACACTGTCAATGCCTAGAAGGGGGAAGGAAGGAAAATTAAGTCCAACTACTCCACAGGGCATGAGAAAGTAGAGAGTGCGCAAAGTCCAATGCAATAAAAAGACCAGCACAAGTTAAAAATACCAAGTCAGGCCCTGCTAGAGACGAGAGAAGAAATCCAAATAGAAACCCAAGGCTGAACGCATTGTCGAGCAACATCTATGGAGAAGAAAAAATATACTTCATTGATTTGGTGGGAGTAGAAAGAATTTTAATTGTACTTCACTACAATACCCTTCTTATCTTAGTTCAAAATTTTAGTTGACATCAATTTAAAGCTTGCTTGGGAGGAATTTTAATCCAATTAAAATTGAAAATATAGTCGTTATTGGTCTCACTCGTCTATCCGAAGATTATGAGCCGTGGAAATTTATGCATGAAAATCGGTTGATTAGGACATGTTCGGTTGTGCTTAAAATTCAATTAAAATTGAAAATATAGCCGTTATTGGGTCTCACTCGTCTAATAAAAATCAACAATAACGACTAGTTTTTCAATTTTAATCCGATTTTAATCTCTACCAAACAAGCTCTTAGTCTTTTAGCCCATTACCCCCATCGAATCCTCTAATATGGACACAAAAGCATAAGTGGGCTAGTCAGAAGTTGATCAAAATCCACACTCTTTCCCATCCATCTTCCTTTCCTCAACAATCAACAGCAGTGTTTCTCTCAATTTCCTCTCACTTTTTGCCCCAAACAAAAAATACGCCAAGTGTCTTTAAAATGAGAGGATATCGTGGAAATATTTAGAACAGAGTTTGTTTTGAGCCAATATTGTTTTGCACCATAGCACATACAATTCTGGGGTTCCAAAGAAATATCAACTGCACATCTTCCATCAGTGTTTCCATAACATAATACCAAATTAATTATAGGCTGAAAATATTATGAAGGAATGAGAAATTATAAGAAAGTAATTAGAAGCTGCTAATACCGTTACCGCCAAATGCTGATGTTGAGCCACCAAAAGCAGGAGTTGGAGAAGATCCAAAAGCAGGGGTCGATGAAGCACCAAACACTGAAGTTGAACCTAAAGGAGAAGAGGATTGGGCACCAAACACACCAGTAGATGTACCACCAAAAATGGAACCCCCTGTCTGTGAACCAAATGGGCTTGTACTACCAAAGGGTTTAGGAGCAAACGGATTGCTACTAGCATTACTGACTTGCCCAAAAACTGGTTGTGACCCAAATGCACTAGATGATTGCCCAAAGGCTGTTGGATACACCAGAAAATTAGTAGACATGCAATAGATCATGGATGGATAACAACTACTTATTCACTTACAAACAAATTTATTAAACTTAATTTTTTTTGTGAGCACATTATTATTCACATAAATTGGAAATGGGATGAGAAGAAAATGATAGATGGACGTAGGCAGCTAACAACTAAAAGTCAAGCTCATAATTAGCTAACTAGTTGCTCCGATGGATTCACTAATGAAGACGGTCATAAGGCTTAATAAGGGCACGTTCAGGTCAAAATTGGAAAAATTTTGAACCTTGGATTTAATAGAGAAAAGAACAGAAAGCCAGTGAAAAAAGTCTATATTTTCTTTCCATTCAAAAGAAATATAAAATTCAAATTTTATTCAAATCTATTAGAATATCATATGAAGTTAAGAGTATTTATTGTAGGCTCCCACAAGTATGTTTGGGCAAATATTTCTCTACTATTTTTTCAATGAAACCAAATCAAGGAAATATATTTCTCAGTATTTGATCTTCGCTGAAAACTAAAATAAAAATCAAGTCATATCTTCCATAATAATAAGAAATTTTCAGAATGCATTATAACCATCAAAACATTAAATTAAACTGTCACAAGATAATTCCAGTATAACTTCAAAAGCAGAATGCATTATCAACCTAGAATCTCCAAACTGAAGAGCCAATGTATACAAATTTTTAACAACCAGAATCCAGTAGGAAACTTGAAATTAAAGTAAAATCAAGAAAAAGAGGAAATCAAGCAAGGTCTGATAAAAATCGGGTTTTAACATATAACTGAAAAAGAGACCAATATTAAAAAAGAAAGAAAGATGGCAAACACTTACGGTTGCTTCCGAACATTCTTCCTCAGCAGAATAGAACCAATAGCAGACTTTTCGTTAATCCAAACCGAATAAACTATATGCGATGAAACCTGGAAATCAATGAATTTCCTCTGAATTCAGAAACAACGTGTATGTGAGTGTGTAGGTTTTTACATATATATAGACGAATATACAACACGCAACATCTCTATGCTAGGGTTATTATAATATTCGTAAACTACCTAAGAAGAGAAGAGAGGAACGCGGGTGACGTCGATCCAACAGCAACACGTTAAACCCAGAACCGAGTTGCGTACAAACAAAGCTGTGTTTAAGGTTCAACAGCGGATATAGATGTGGAAATGGGGAAAACAGGGAAAAATAGAATTATTGGAGACTCAGAGAGAGACGGCAAACTGCATAAAACGGTCGGGCCGGTTAGAGGCCTTAACTTGTGCCCGTCAAGGGCCGGCCCATCTTTATTAGCAGGTTATGTCAGACTTGAAGCATGTGGCCAGTAAGCTACACCGGCTCGCGGAGCATGCCTTTTTTAAAAAATATATATATAATAAATAGGGAAAAATTCATTTTTCCTATTTTTACTATATATTATTTCAAAAATAAGCAAACAACTTTCAAATTTCTAAAATCAAATATTTGACATATACATACACTATATATATATATATAGTTAATCCACCCCACCTCCACCACCCCTACCCTTCCAGCGATCGTTCCGACGATCGATCTGATTCCGACGACTATACTGATGATCGTTCGGGTGACTATTCCGGTAAATGTAACTCGTATTTTTGAACAGTGACTCTAAAAACACATTTGGCCTGTTAATGTTGATTTTTTGGTCACAACATTTTTATAAGTCATACGATCACAGACTTCCAAATTAGTTGGTCACATATTTTTTCACGGTCATAGATTATATAATTTTTAGGTCACGATAACATAATTGTTGGTTATGGATTATATTTTTAGTCACAAATTACCGAATTTTAAGGTCACGGATTATATTTTTAGTCACAGAAAATCACTCCTCCACCTACACTACCGTCGACTGCACCACACCCCGACAGTGCCACCACCACCGCACCCATAGNGTCACAGAAAACCAAAATGACCAGATCCACCACCACTACCTCTGCATTATCGCCACGACCACCAACACCATGAGGAACCACCACATCCACCACCAACAGAAATGCACCACCGTGACTGCCACCACCAACAACCACCACCTCCACCACCAACGAAAAGAACCACCACCACCTAGCCACCATCACTGTCCATCGCCACCAACAACAAAAACGAACCACCACCGTCACTGCCCATCGCCACCAACAACAACCTATCACCACAACAAGCACCACCACTAAACAATCACCACAACAAGCACCACTAAAACACAAACCACACCACAAATCCTGCAGCATCGATCTCTAGCACCACCACACAAATCGCACAAATCAAAACACATACCACAGATCGACCACCTTCACCATCTGTCGACGCTCATATCGATGTTGTGACGACTTCGCAGTAGTCACCGCACCGAAGCTCTTGGCGGCCAGGAGAGCGGGGCTCAGATTTCTACAAACCAAGTCGACACGGCTAGATTTCGCGGCCAGGAGAGCGGCACTCGTTGTAACAGTGGGCGAAAACAACTGGTGTAAAGAGAGAAAAAGGTGAGAACCGAGAGTTGCGGTGGTGATGGTTGGGCGAAGACGACGGGCAGCAACGCGTGAGAAATGTAGAGAGAGAGGGGAATGAATGTAGAGAAAGAGAGGAAGACAACATGTTGTGGGTTAGGGTTTGTGATGTGTGTATTGGAGTATATATATATTTATTAAATATAATTATTTTATAAAAATACTAATTAAAATAAAACTTCTGATTTGGAAATATTAAACATGTCATCTGAATTATGAAATGAGATCTTGAAATCTATTAGAATCTGTAATTTCAACTAATAAATAATCTCAATTGTCACCAGAGCCTGCTTAATATAAAACCATCTACATGATCGCCTAAATTTCCATATTTATGAAATGTCCCAAACTTTTGAAACTTATGAATACTTTTAGTCTTTCTCTCTTATAAGTAATGAATATTTATTAAAGGAAAAAAAAAAAAAAAAGAGGAAAAACTCAAAATTAAAGTACTTAGAGCATACTCAAAAGGCTCTTTATTAATCTAACTCTTCTTATTTAAGAGAGGCAATATGTATTTTTGAGGAGTTCAAATTCTTTATATTGAAAAATTAAAATTAAAAGTTGATTTGACTCCTCAAATGCGGAAAACACGTCCTCCTAATATTTTTATCTTAATATTTTTACTCATACTTCTTCCATCATTGGTAAAAAAATGACAACGCGGGTTTATGGGAAAAAGCAATATAAAAGAATAAATATGAAAAGTATTGTTAAATTTGTATAAAATATTCCACTCTCTATTTTCAAAAATCCCTTGAAGATGCTCTTTGTATTAAAAATTATATTCTATGTGTCCTTAGTATTTGGCATAATTGAAGTTGGATTACTATTAAAATTTAAAAAAAAAAAAAAATTCAAATTGACCCCTGTTTGAGCCCCATTTATGGTTCAAATATATTTTGAAATATAGTGTTTTGTTGAAAAATGGTGGTTGAAAAATAGGAATTTTTTTAAAAACTTACGTGTAAAATTATTTTATATGAAAATGTATGGTTGAAAATGAGTTTTTGGAAAAATGGTGACCAAACATAGGTGATAACGCATATATGGCTCCATAGGCCTTGTCCAAAAAAGAATTTTTCATAGTTGGGTCTCTAATTGCAATGTACTGTACTTTAAAAGAAAAGGGAAAAAAATGCTTTTCAATATCAAATTTAGATAAATATTGATTAAGAACTTCAAATTTTAGATAATGTGGTTCAACGAAGTATCAAGTCAAACAAAAATCTTGAGATTAAGATTTGATAAAAATTGGAAGAATGATATCTAGTACCACTAATATTATACAACCAACCTTTATGGCATGCAAGTAATAAAGTATCTTAAATTAGACATATTTCTTTGATTTTAAGGTGATCTATTGATTAATGACAATTGCATGCCACCTATTCTTGTGCTAAGCATCGGTGATACTAAATGACATCAATTTAAAATTGTGCATGCATTTCGTACCATGTTGTACAAAAATATATCGAATTAAAATCACCGCAAGTGTATGATTCGTTGACAAGTAATAAAGTGAACTTTTTGAATCCGAATATCGTTCCCACAAGGATTTATTAGTTCTAATTCTAATTACCGTGACCTTAACCGAAACTATAAAAAGATGAGAATGTTTGTTTTGACAAATTTGTAACAAATTTAACACTAAATATGCAAATATGAATGAATTAATTAACTAAATGCAATTTGGCAATGAATGTAAATTTGGGTTTTTCTAATATGTGATGAATGTACTAGGATCACGAATCCCTATACAATAATATATTTAAATCTAATTTCAAACATTGACACACGGTTGGAATAAAGAAGAATCAATGCTCCTAAATTATCTAACAATCTCTCTCGAGTAGAGTTAAACCTATTCAAATATGTGATCCGACTATATCTTTATGACGGATGCAAACATACAAGATTGCATGACCTTTTATTAACACTTAAAGATTCACATAAAATATAGCGGTATATTTATATCTGTTATCGGACCCTATGATATTTTATAAATGTCGAACATATTCCCCTTCTTTCGAATGCATGAAATAAGCCACCAAACTCACACAATCATTGCGCATATAATTGTGGAGAAAAATAAATGCATATAAATCATTCAAATATCCCAAAACGTATTTTTATTGTCACGAATGTAAAACTAAGAAATAAAAATCATAGTACATAGTTCATCTAATCCTAGCGTATGAGTATTTGACTCGAAAAAGGAAATCAGAAAATTCACGCCGAAGAATAATCATGCGGCCGCATGGTTATGAGCCATGCGAGTGCATGGTTCATCAAAATGAGGCATTAGAGGACCCTGCATGGTCCTGTGCTACCACATGGAAATTCTACCATGATACTGCATGGAAATACTTTTTTTTTTTTCCACGAGACAGTTTTCAAGATTTTAATCATATTTTTTTCTCTGAGATCGACACAACATTTCAGTATTTTCACTTGAGTCCTCAAACTTTGATTTTATTCATTTTAGTCATTTTCGCTTTTTTTCCTAATTTCCGCCATATTCATCATTATTGTCATTTAAAACAAAAATTATATCGAATTAAATTATATTCCACATATTTATTAACAATTATCTATGTCTGTTACCCAAAATAAGTGTGTAAAACGCACTTATCATACCACGTATAAATAGTTAGACATGTGGTAACCATTTTTACATTTTGTCTCGTGTTGCAATGAAAGTTTAAATTTTAAGTATATTGGATTGTGATTATTGGAGGGGCAAGTGAACCTCATTTTATTTGAGATGATTGTGTTTGATAATGTTGCATTATTTCTAGTTGCTTTACTCTATATTATGAGGGGATATTGAAGATCATTACTGTCATTCATTAAATCTTCCAGATTGGTGAAATCCCTTACTTCTAAGCAATTATTGTAAGAAAAATCTGAAGAATTCTCTTGGAGGCTACCATCGCCATTCTAGAGTCCTCCATGCGAATTTATTATAATCAATTCATGGAATTATCTAGAATTTTGGTGAACACTCTTCCACTGACTTTGCATGTCTGATGAGTGTATGCAATATGTATGTATGAGAGCAAAAAGAAAATGAGAGATAGAGAGACAAGAGAAATAGAGAAAAAGAGAGAGACGGAGGGGTGAAAAAAAGACACAAGAGAAAGAGAGGATAGAGAGAACAAATAATTAGTACTTCCTTTAATATGAATATTCCGAGAGTTGCGTGCTTGGTTTGTAATAATATTTTTGTTAATAAAATCATTTTCATTTGGTTTTAAACTCAACAATTTGGTATCATAACAAAGCAGTGGAGGACGAATTTTTGAGCTTC